GTTGCAGATTTGGAAGGGCGAAAGGAGGTGGGGGGGGGGGGGGGGGGGGGGGCGTGAGCGTACCTGCCTACCCAGCTGTCGTACCGATACTTACAAGTCTTGCAAAACGCAGGGAAAGGGATCTGGGATACCCAGGTACTTGGCAGACAGCTAGGTAGACACTCGTACGAAGTAAAATACCATGTCAGGTATCTTACTCTGACAATCATCCCCCTACTTGTTTCAGTAGCGAGCATTACAGTACCGGTACTGTTTACCAGCCTAGCCAGCTGGGCTGCATGGCAGTATTACATAACTGGGGATTTTATTGTCCCACTGCCACCCTGTAGATGGCTCATCCTCACGTCTTATCGATAAGTGGCGATCACGCTAAGCTAGAGCGGGGATGAAGTGTTTCGGCTCAATGCGCAGCAAGACCAACGAGAGGCCGCCTTTTCGGTTGCTTTCCCATTCTCCATCGTCCAAAGTCGCTTTCCTTGTGACTCACACACACAGCACCCTTTGCCAGACCTGCCACCAGTGACCCAGCCGGATTAGGCACGACTGGCGAACTGATGAGTTTGTTATTTCGTAACTCTACGTACATGGAAGAGTCGCTCGGCCGCGCCCTAGCCCGAATCCAGTCGCCTCGCTCCCCTTTCTTCACAGTGTACCTTCTTCTCCCACTTGTACATGGACTTGCACTTGCACTGTCCTCTTTGGGACTGCACAAGCACTCTCTGTCCATGCATGTGTCTGTCGTCGACTTGTACGACTTGGCTCCCGTCGCATATGGGCTCTGATGCTCATTAAAACGCAACCTCTCGACGTAAAACGTATGGCGGATTTCGGAAGACCCAGACCAAATGATTCATTCATCAGACTCAATGCCAATAGCATGGGCGAAACCGGAGGCCGCCCGGCACCAATTCGCCTCTTCATGCCGGTTCAGCTTCCCTCACCGCATCTCACCCATTTCTTCTCGTCGTTGACAGCCTGGGCCTCGGGTGCCACTTCGTTAAGCACTACCTACTCCTTCATGTTCTTCATGTGGTTGGTGGCGCCAACTTGCCACCCGTTCTCAGGCGGAGCAAGCTGAGATTGACGTTATCTACTTGTAGGCAGGCGACTGGAGTACCGGTATTTGATGCGCCTTGGGGCGGTCAATGGTCTACTCATTGGTCAATTGCTCATCGTTTCCCCGTCGCCTCTCATGCTTTACGTGCAACTTGTGTCATCCCGTTGCCGATTGCCTTGCCACGCTTCCTGCAGCGACTGGCATCAAGAAACTCTGTCTAGGCCGAATCGATGGATTCCACCCAGGGACAAGGGCCAGCGAGCCCGCCTTACGGCTCCCGTTCACTAGCTCGTTGTCATCCACCCCGGCTACCTTGCTCGAATTGAATTTGCCAACAATGTCGCTCTGCTCGCCTGCGGCCGCATCACATATCGATCGTAATTGGCCTCGTCTACGCTATGCCTCGCCGTCTTGCGTGGACTGGATCTATATCACTTGGGATGTGCACTTGGCTGTTTTCCCATTGTTGTCCTGCAGCAGCGCGTTGATCCAATCTGGAATTACACGTGTGGTCATCGAATGCGGCTTTGCTCCCAATTGGGCTGTCTGTGAGACAACTGGCCTCTCTCGTTGGCGTCGCGTCCATGTTGTTCTTTTGCTTAAAGGAGCGGTTTCGCGGAAAACAACGCAAGGTACTTTCGGTCAGCACGTTGGAAGTCCGAGAAAATGGGTTTCAAGTCAAGCATCTCATGCGCTTCGTGCACTTGTTTGGGCTTCTCTACCGCTGGTTCAGCCCCACTGGATTCGCTGTCTATGTTCAGTTGCATGACCATCAGAGAGGGCAGAGAGCCGTGGCCGTAATTCATCGCAACTATGTTGCCTGCCGACGAGTTTGGTGATTACCGTGATTCTTTGACACACAAGCACCGCAGAAAGTTGGGTTGGTAGTGTTAAAGGGGACTTGGACAATTCGTTCTCTGTCCCGAGCGTTCTGGTATCTGTGGGAGGCTAAGTAGCTTGTCACCTGGCTTACAAGCCTGAGGCGGTGACAGGAGGATATAGTACATTGCCGAACCGGCTCACAAATTCCCACTGGCCGCCTTTGAAAGCAAAACGATACTTCAACTTGGCTTCTTTTCTCATGCCGGCCCATATTATGTTCATCCAGACTAGGGCAGCCCCCCCGCCCACCCCGCTGAACCATCGTCAATCGCGGCGTCGCCTCCAAATCCAGCCGCTACAGCACTGCTCTACCTTCTCATCGCCACGAACGGCAGACTCTGGATTCTGTGCTCTACCCTCATAGCCATAGGGGGCCCTTGTCTTGGGTATCGGTTAGGTATCGATCCAGGGAATCCCGCTGCGACGGTACATCAGAGATTCTGCAGCTAGAACGGACCCATCTAGCCAAAGGTAGTATTAGAGCAGTCAGCTTAAGGGTGTCCCATACTGTGTTCCAATGCCCATAAACTACGATGCTGATTGGTCGTCGAATGGGTGAACAAATGACTTTGGTTTGAGACCTAGATTGCCAGATGAGAGACAACCTGTCACCCGCCCACCCCTCTTGGCACACACTCACACACACTCACACGCGCGCGCGCGCACCCACCACGCAGCCTGCCGTCAGATGCACTGTTCGTCGGTTCATTCTGAATAGGCAAGCTTCAAAGTGTTGACCGTTTGTTGTGGAGGGGTAGGTGGGTGATTGCTTGGACGCCATCATGGGGGATTGGGATGATGCGAAAACCGGTGAGCGTGTCAGCATCAGGTAAGAGCGAAAGGACGCAGTGATGGACAGAGACAGTTCTGTCTCCAAAAAAGAGGTGGTCAATTCATACTTGAAGGGCATAACTGATTGTCAATGCCAACGTAGTATGGAGGCTTGCCTCTCATCTGTTGACCTGGTACCACGGTTATTGAACATTGAACTGGATGAGTCCGGCATGCTTTGCTTTCTTGTTGATCGCATTTCTGTGGCTCGATATCTGTCGACATGGTCGTCATGAGCCGAGAGCCAACCAGGAAAGCGGTAGCGCTGTGACGGCGGCTTCTACACGTCGAACCAATGGAGGGGCAGCGGGGGAGGGGCACAGCGGCGGCACGGGCTCGCTATTGGGTCAATTGACGGCGACTTTTTGTGGCCGGCTTTGTTCGCAGCACCCACAGGAGTCTAATGTACATCTATTTTCCCTGCATGTATACTACATGGGATCGGTACGGATCCTTTAATGCCCAAAAATACTTACGGCAAGTCCCTGTTCCTTTCATTTTGCCTTCTCTTTCTCAGGCCGGCCTAGACTGTACCAACGCTACAGTGCCTTATCATCTCTGTACTTTGTACCGACGACAACTCGCAGCAGCATTAGAAATACTAATCCCACCCCCTTGACCCTCCTTGTACATAATGTAGACCGCCACGCATGCCTCCTGTGTGGAATCAGATAGTAGGGGAAGACGACAAGAAGGAAAGAGAAGGGGGTGAAAACACAGTGAGGTCCGAGAAGCCGAGACGAAGGGGAAAGACTGTGACAGTGATAATCGCACAGTCCAATGGACGCGGCATACATAGATAGGTAGCAGATAATGGGCGGGGGTTAAAGCAGCATACTGCCGCAACGTAGTAAGTAGGTAGCCGAAGCAAACCACAGGGACCCGAATTGGTCCCCCCCCCCCGCGTCATTGCTGGTTGTTTTTTCTTCTGACAATAAACAAATCAATTCCACGCCAATTGAGTTATGAGGTGTGGCTCAGTCTGACTGGGCTGGGCAGTCCGCAAGGCAACAGCGATATCTCGCGTCGCCGCCGCCGCCGCCGCTGCCAACAGAAAGGGGTGTGCAATTGTGATCCACAAGAAGGGGGTGGTTTTATCGGAAAATGGCCCAACTGGCAGGCATGGGGCGGGTGTGTGTGTGCAGGGTATGATCAGCGACGGGTGGGCAGGTGTGAGGGGTGGTGTGTGGGCGTGGCCCTGTCGAGTGACTCTTCTCTGTCCCAGGCAAAACCAGAACCAAACCAGGAAAGAAGCAGAGGGCGGTCCCACTTTCCACGTCGACGTCCGCGCTTCTCCCCCAGACTCTGCTCATTTTCACTCTCTCCGTCTGCCTCTTGTCACTGCCGTCGCTGTCCTACCGCGATCCTAGAGTTTAATGTACCTGGGTGGGTGGGTGAGTATGAAGTAGTCAGTGTACGATGGGCCTCTCCTCCGTCTCTCCCTCGCCCGTGTGCTGCTCTTGTTCCATGAACTTGTCCCCTCAACCGTCTTTCTGCATGGTACCGTATTCATAGATACTTCCCTTCACTGTGACACGCCCTTCCCACTCCCTTCTGCCTGCCCAACCTAACCTGGCGCGCCTGGCTATTGCCTGCCTTACTCGTCTACTCCTTCCTCCTCCTCTAGTCATCCATCATCCACTTTGCACCTGGCTTCTCCTTACTTCCAATCACTCTTATTCTTCTTCCTCCTTCTCCTCCTCCTCCTCCTCCTCCTCTACTTCTTCTTCTCACTACCCTCCAAGCCATCCTCATTTCCCCTCTCTTCTTCTCTTCTTAAAGGTTTTCCCATTTGCTGCCCTTACGCATCGACTTTTCTGCTCTTAAATGCGTGGAATCTCCACTTGGGTTCCATCGCCACATCGACACCGCTTACTTCTGCTGCTCCCGCCACCAATAGCCTTCACCACGATACCAATCCACTCCGTTGCTCGTGTCGCCAGTGTCCATCCTTATTGCCTTCTTGCCCCTACTGTGGCACGCTTTCATCCATTGTTTCGCTCTTCAAGTCAATGGAGACTTGTTGCAATCAAGCGCAAAAGTGACCGCGGATTGCATTTCTCACACTGACCACCCTCCTCCGCCTTGTTACTGCGTCAGCGCCCGACCGCAGTAAAGCGACACACTCCCAAGCTTCCCGCTGCGCACGTCATTATCAATTGGAACATAAACCCCCATTGACGTCCACACCTCACCCCACAAACAACCACTCTTCAATCACACTACTATCAAAGCCAGAAGCCCTTTCGAGCCTGCTGCTACTTTCGATTCATTCTGTGGAACGAGCTCCTTCTACCGCAGTCCATCATCTTCTCCGACTGCCGAAACCCAATTCGTTCAACTCCGATATCTCCATACTGCGGTGCCTCGCCACCGCCAACACTACAAGATGGCTGACAAACCCAACCAAACCGCCCCTACACAGCCTACGACAGCGGCAATCGTTGACACAACCCGTACTCGCCCAATTCCTTTTAACATCTCCAAGGTGCAGTCTTCTCCGACTGCGTCTATTTCTCAGACAATGGACCCCAACTATAACACGACGCCGCCGCAAGCGACCACGATGACTCGGGACACCAAGAAAGCTTTTGATATCAGCAACCTCATGTCTCCTCCTGAGCCATTGCCCTATGAAAGCTTCAACCAGGGTCAGCAAAATTCTGTGCCGATGTCTTCCGGTAAGCATCACGCACACGAAGCGACCAAGCCTAGCATGCCAATGTCGCCTCCTGTCTCGCCCTACATCACAGGGTCGAGCAATGTTCCCGTACCCGGAACACCAGCTAAAGATCCGATCTTGTACCCTCGCGACGATGCTGCTTCAAGTCCAACCCAGCCGCCTCTGTTCCCTAGCACTGAATCAATCGAGCACCGTCGCATCGTTGACGAACACATTGTTGCACGACCTCCTGGCCTTTTTCGCGAGGGCTCACCACCCCACAGAGAGGATTACGAACTGGCCCTGCAACTGAAGTCCCAGGTTATGAGACTGTTTGCCAACAAAAGGAAGTCATGGTACGAGAAGGAGCGGGAACAGGTCAGGGCAGACCGAAAGCTGAACCATGCTCGGTGGAACAGCGTCGTGCGATATCAGACCATCGCTCCAGCCAAGTCTATTCCTACCAAGGCAACGAAACCTACCCCGACCAAACCCAAGGTCACTTCATCTACCAACTCGAAGCCCGATCGTATTGTCAAACCCCAAGCTCCTCGACCTGTGCGTAGCAGCCCTCCGACTCGTCACATTCGCCGTGTTAGCGCCACGCCGGACCCTGCTCGTCGTGTAGTGGCACCAAACAGAGAGGACCGCGACTTCGCAGCTCTACCCGACTATTGCCCTCCACTATCTTCGCTACCTGAAAAGCCAAACTCATTAAAGGTGGACTGGAAGGGCGCTCCTATCGACCTCAGCGACGATCCTAACGTCCACTTACTCCACCCCGATGAAACCAGCCTCGCAGCCAATCTTCGGCTTGATTGCGCCACCTATCTTACGAGCAAGCGGCGCATCTTTGTTCGTCGGCTAGAATGTGCGAGAGTTGGCAAAGAGTTTCGCAAGACCGACGCTCAGCAGGCCTGCAAGATTGATGTGAACAAAGCCTCAAAGCTTTGGACGGCTTTCGACAAGGTCGGCTGGCTCGAGCTGAAGTGGATGAGCAAGTTTGTCTGAAGTTACTTCAGACACTATTTATCGCATGGATCATCTGGCATGGTTCATAAATCGACGCCGGTACATTGATACCTGCATGTTCGCCGCATTACGAAGCCTTCTGTCCACCTCATTACTGTTTACGATTCTCTTTACGGCATGTAGGCCACACGGCCAGTTCTCGTCCCTTCTTATTTCATATTTCGGTATCTTGCATTAGAGCGACCTCGGTTCACGACGGGCTTTCGGTTTCTTCTACATCCCCCCATGATTGCCAGGTGGGCTCACTTCTTCCTCCCGCAACGTTACTTCGCTCAGCACGGGCGGATCATGGTCTCAATTACTTTTACCTTCAGTTTTGGGAACTGCTCGTTATTCATTTGGCATCACTTCGGACGCAGCCTTCAAGACATCAGAGCATTAGGGATTACTACCATGATACCCGGAGTGCGACAGAAATTTGATTACCACAGTCATGTCACCCCCACTCCACGATATTTTCTTTTTGTTATTAAGCCTGGATTTTGTCTCTGCATTTGGGTTACTTGGATGTCATCATACCCCTCTCCCATGGCTAGGTTGGTGGATATTGGTTTGCAATGTAGGGATGGTCATCCCACGGTCGATGTGTTGCCGTTTCACTGAGCCTGCGGGTTGCGGTGGAAAGATTGGTTACTTACTTGGACGAGCGAGGGAAACTTGTCGTCTTCCAGCAAATCGCACAACGCAGGACATCTTGTAACGTACTTTGGCGGCTATTCATTGACACGCGCAGTCGGGCGATAGTTAGCAAGTCGAGTAAGGCAAATTTATACAAGATGTATTGCAGCAATAAGACAGCGAGACCTGCTTATTGTACGATGTTGTGAATATGCAGACGACGCGATAATAATGGGCTTTTTTTTCTTTTTCTTTTTTTCTTCTTCTATTTCCCCCTCCCCCTCCTCCCCCCCAACGGAGGCGATACAATAGTGTCGTCGATGGAATGTAGAAGACGTTGACTCAGCCCTACGGCGTCTCTCTGTTCTGCTTAGAGGGCGTGTTATTGGATGGTAAACCCCTGGCTTGCGACGATAGGTTTAGCGGAGTCACGGATCGGGTTGGTTGATCGACGACGCGCGCGGGATGCTCGGATCGATCCAGCGGCAGGGTAAGTGTCGATTGCTACACTGTCATGTTAGGGCGCAGGGGCTCTTTGGGAGTGCCGAGAGCTCGGCTCACCACGAGTCGCAGCGCAGTACGTAGTGGTCAAGTACGTAGTGGGTGCTCCACGCTTGCACCCTCACCTTCTCACCTGTCGTGCAATGTGGGGGTGGAGCCTTGATGGTCTGCCTCCTCTGTAGATCTACCCGATTCAGTCGAAAAGGGAATCACTTATGTAACTACATAGGGCAGGTAGGTGCCTGGGGTAGTTCGAGCGGTTTTTACTCCGCAGTATACCATCAACCGGCGAAACAGAATTTGAACGGGGTGTCGACGGACCAAACGTACATACAGAATAGAGAGAGACTTTAGGCATGGCAATTGCTTTAAGACAAGGTACACTATAATTGGAGCCGCTACTGTTTTGTCCAACATGAATCCACGTTCGTCTCGACTCCCCGCCGGCGCGCTTATATCAATACACCATGTTGACCTTGATGACAAGACTAAGTAAGTAGGTAAGTGGGTAGGTGCCTCGTGGATGTGTGAAGGAAAGAATCGACCTCCAAGAGGCTAGCATGGTTCCAGTTGTTACACTGTAGGCACGATTTCTTGGTCCTCCGCTCCTTGCCCTAGTCCCACGTCACCATGACAAGAATAAAACAAAGTGAGTGTCATGCCGCTGGATTGCGCAGATTGCTTCATATCACCATGAGAATTTTGTGAACTGCTTTGACAAGATAATCTAATCCGTATTACATTTCAAACTTACTCGGCCGCACGTGAACTGCAACCCAGTAAACACAAGAGGGTGAAACTAAGTAATAGCACATTGTTACTCTACGGGGTTATTGGTAAGTGTACGCGGTTTGTTGAGCTACATCCGCTAGCGTTTGGAATGTCCATGCAAGAGAGGGGGAGAAGGAGACGGAGACGGAGAAAGGGAGGGGCGCTAAGGGGGGAGGATCAAGTTCCTGGCCGCTTGTTGCGTGCACTGAAAATCTCGTTTCCGCTCCACACCAGAAAAGGCAAGATAATGTTTCTGCCGCAGCGGGTGTGGCCCCTACCATCCTGGACGCCTCGTGCGCGCATCGAGGAAGGAAAGTGAATGGTGTCTCTTCTCACCTTAAGGACAAGGGGGGGGTGCGGGTAAGGAGCAGAGGTTGGTTGGAGGCTCGATTTTTTTTTTTTTTACATCGGGTTACGCCTGAGAAAGTAGTCATGGCCTGAGGCATGACGGAAGGAACCAAGACCTTCTTTTGAAACCGAGGACAGAGGCATCCGGTATCACGCACGATAAGTTATCGATAAGGTTATGCAACCGTCTTGCAGGAGAAACATCATCTGTCCGAGCCGACCACTTGATATCCTTACCTGCTTGTGTTAAATCACAACGCTGCGTCATGGTCCGTCTCTTACGTTTCGACTCCTTGCTGCCGAGAAATCGTTGTTCGAAGCATGCCCACGGACATTGATTGTCTTAGCCCAGTCGAATCTTCCCAACGTGCATCGACATTGAGTCCCTTGCCGTCTTCCCCTGTCTACCATCGAGTCGCTTGCACGCCCATCCCAATCAACTTCGACTTGTGTCCTTTGCTTTCATCCTGAAGCACGCAATGTACACTGTTCGTCCTTCGAGGAGCATCATGGGTCACTAAGGCCTATAAGGCCCTCCTCGACACACTGCACCGATGACCCAGTCCTGATGGAAAGCTTGAGGGGCGTCTGCGCACCGTTGGTCGTGGATCTGTCTGTGATTGTAACACTGAGCTCCGATTGGCGAAGAGCGCTGTGGATTAAGCTCAGGAAGCAGTCATCGTCGAAACTGGAATGGTCATCTCGCTGGTGGCACTTTTGATCACATATCGAACCGTGATGCCGGTCTTCCGCCCGCAGTGCATCCCGTAACATCCTCTTCTTGCGGATATCTCCCATTCATCTGGCTTCCGGATGGCGTCGGCGTCCTCCTGACATCGGGTTGCCTCGAGTTGTTTGACGGCCATGTCGATCTGCCTGACAATGGCACGAAGAGCCGGCTTGATCGACACGACGCTGTAGATGTCCATGAATAGCGCTGCTCTAACCGGAAGAGAAATCACAGAGTGTTGTATATAACTATCTCGAAACCGCCGGCATCTTTCAGAGGCACGCGGACGCTTTGATGAGACTCTGAGGGGAGTGCGTGGTCACCAAGTCTAGGAACGAAAGAATGTCTTACGACCTGCCCACTCCGCCGAGACGAACAAAGTTGATGCCGAGCTTTTGACAGCAGAGCAACAGCTCGTCGGCGGTTTCGTTATTTTGCGCTGTGATGAGAACTGGTGCGCAGATTGACTGTGTGCCCAACAGAACCTCGAGGGCCGACATGACAGCGATACCAACAGATGAAGTATAGCAGGGCATAACTGCAGGTCGACCGATACTATTTGAGCTTCTGGCTAGGGCTTGTCAAATGGCACTTTGTGAATTGATCAACGTTGGTTCTGCGACACTCTCGGGAGTGGTTTTTATTCATCCTAAGCTGTCTCCTCGAACCCCTCCCTCCATTACTCACCCAAAGGCCCCGTACAGCTTCGAGCGCGCTTCAACCGTGAAGTAACACTGGTCGGGCTGCAGAAGGTCAGCGGTGATCTCGGCATCCAACACTTCCAGATTCAAAGGAGACGGCGTCGTTTAGCTATCTATAGGTTCATTGTAGCGGCCAGGTAGCACCGCCACAGCGCATCACGTCCGGAAATTGTCCGACCCAAGGGTGAGGCCACGATCTTGCATCGGATCAGACGTTGGGAGGCAGGCCAATTAAAGAAGTGTCGGGCTTGTACTGCGGAGAATTGAATGAATCCCGACGCCGAGTAGGAAGACCTGGGGATACAGACGTTAAGGAGGTTCTCTCTGGGAAATCTAAGCCGCCTTCATAACCACCTCGGCCAGAGGCAACTCGGGCGTACAGTACCATTTCTTTCTAGCTTGCAAGAGACGGGTGATGATCTTAGCTAGGTTCTGATCCTGTAAGGAAGTGACAATGAGCGGAAGAGACGTGAAGAAAAGGGGCGAGAAGCAAGTACGATGGAATCCGACTGGTACTTGAAATATGCCACAAAAAAAAAAAGATAACAAAACCTGGGAAACTGAGTACGAGAGCGTTGCTGAGGTAGGGTGGAACGGAAGATACTGGGTAGATCAAGATTGAAGTAATGATGAGATTTTCCCGTGTGCGAACACGCCTTAGTGACAAGGCTCCACCGATAAATTAATTAATGTAGTGTCTTTTGATACGAGTCTGGTACATGAAGACGGTGGTTAGGCTCTAGGAAAGGCTGCTGGAGAACATGGGAAGATAAGAAGGACAAGTAGTGTGGTGAAGGCACTCGTTGAGTCAGTTGCAAGGGAGATTCGACAGAACCAGAAAGTATTGTAATTTGGACCCCTAGGATGGCTCAGCCCAGTAATAAGAAGGCGAATAATACAACACCGGAGAACCAAGAGAAGTTTGCGAACAATTATAGTTGTGATGAAATATAAACCATAACGGTATAGTAATCACTCGTTCACTGGTCAGACTTGATTTGATAAAACCCAGCATATTACGGCTTGTCAACCCAAACGGTTGTCGAGAACATCATTGAGGGCGGCATTGCAGACTGGCTAGGGCCCTGTGACAGCTCTTATGTGGCACCTGGGCCTAATTGTATTTGTCTCGCCCAGTCAATCCAGTTTTGAGTACTTTGAAGGAATGGCACAAGAAGCTTCTTGTCTTGTTGTTGGTCGATCCCATGATTGTCGGCCTGCACATGGCGCACCTGCTGGAGCGGAGACACCGAGCTGGCTTCATGTTGATTTTGTTTGGAACAGCAAGTCGTATTCCAAGAGAGAGGGTTTCATTCGATGCAAAGAACCCGAGCATTGGCTGATGGACAGATAGATGATTGTTCATACCTAACATCAGTACAAAAAAGAGGTTTGCTGGGATAAGATGCAAGAGATGTCACCCGTTTTTCGGTGGGAACGAACGGCGCCCCCTCTTTCAAACGGCACCGAAGTTCAGCCGGACCGGGCCCCTCAATGCGGAATCTTCGGTAGGAACTGCGGCCCCGGGTTTGTTTTCGCGGATGATGAGTGAGTGGGATTCCAAGGGATGCTAGTGTGGCTGGGTTCTGCAACCTTGCAAGCCCCCACTGTGTCACTACTACGGGCCCCCCAGTCACGTCGCGCGACCTTCAGCTTTCGCGACGATTCCATGCGAGTTTGCGCCTCTGCCACATACTGCCTTCACCACCGCATTGTTGCCGGCATTCATACAACCAGCTCTCTTCTTTGGAATTGGTTGGACTTGTGCGACCAACGCAAGTAACAGTTGCAATCGTAGTAGAGTATCCCCACTGTTGAGCCTATGCGCAAAGCCGCCGACATCGCGACCTCTACGGAACCAATTGCGCGACCACGCTTCGTATTGCATCCAATCTCACAGTAACTGCTCGACTGTTGTTTACCAGGACCTTCTGCCATGGACGACGATGATAGAGGCACGCTTGGACGATATGCATTCATCCCATATCTTTGCTAGCCTGCTAACGCAACATAGATTCCAACGCAAGCTCCGAAAATGACCCAAACGAACAGAATGACCAAAACGATCAAGACGAGGTCATGGAAGACGTAGAGGATGCTGATGGAGACATGGAAAACGATGATGACGATAACGATGATGAGCAGGAGGATAACGACCGTGAAGAAACTGGAGACGACGCGCAAGAGAAGGGCGACGAGGCAGCGGCACGTGATGCAAGAGAACCCTCCAGAGCAGGGTCGGCAGCCGCGAGGGCATCTCCAGAAGGCAAGGGCAAATCCCCAATGCCTTTTTCGAGTCTTTTCCCGACCGTACGACCAGAAGCTGTCAGAGCCCGACTGTACGATATCGTGCCGACGATGGCCGCCCCCCAGGCAACTAGTATCAATGCTATCGCCATCACGCCCGACCTTCGATACTGGATGACGGGAGGATCTGACGGCTACATCCGAAAATACGACGGCCCGGGTACAATCAACGGCAAGCAGCTTTTGACAGTTGCGCAAAGGCACCCGTTCGTCGATAGTGTCGTCAAGGCGGGCATCCTCATGTCGTACTGGGAAAATGAAGAGCCGGGCCCGCCCAACCCTAGAGGTAATGAGGAGCATGTGCTATCCCCCGTATACTCCTTAGCCGTTCACTCGCAAGCCTTGTGGCTTCTGTCCGGCCTGGAATCAGGTGGAATTAACCTTCAAAGCGTAAGACACGACGAAGGGAAACGCATTACATGCCTGCAGCAACACACCAATGCCGTTAGTGTCTTGACATTAGCACAGGACGAGAAGAGTGTCTTGAGCGGCAGTTGGGATAAAAATATATACGATTGGGACTTGCATACAGGAGGTGTGAAGCGGTCATTTGACGGCAGCGGAGGCCAGATTTCTGCCATTGAGCTTCGCCCAGTCAATGGAGCACCAATTCCTGCCGAGGCGATGGAGGAGGACATCAAATTTGACGCAACGTTTACCTCGAACAACAACAAGCCCCTACAGAACGGCGCCGCGGATGCCGCGAACGGGGCTGACGCGTTGGCACCCGCCACGTCTGGTGAGGTCGCCGAGGGACAGGCATCGCCCGCGCATGAGTCGCTCTTTGGTGGCAGTGACACTGGATCTCTTTTCGGCGATAACGTTGCAGGCAACTATGGCGGTGATGACGATGATGAGTTCTCTAGGGCAATGGGTGACATGGGAATGCCCCCCCTTCACGACGGCTCTGGGCAGGATGGGGGCATGGACCATTCGGCCGACATTGACATGACCAATGCGTTCAACGCCGACTCGGCCTCGGCACCAGCCCCTCAACCTCGGGGGAGCAGCAGCCCGGAAGCTTCAAAGCATCTGCCCCCAGCACTGGCTCCTGACGTTACGGCTCCGGACCGTCCCTCCACGCAGGATGGTGCAAGAGATGCTGGCGTACAGCTTCCAGCTTCCGACATCCCGGAGGTCCCCCCAGTGCCTGAGGCACAGATAGACGACCCAGCACCCGGATCACCGTCTATGGTCTTCGCATCAGAGCCCGCTGTTCCAGCCATGGATCCCACCCAGTCAGCCGATACAATATTTTTCTCCGCAGCCATCGACGGCACAATAAGACTGTGGGACCGGCGTGTGCAAGACCCTGTTGCCAGGATAAGCAACCAGCGGGGCGTACCCCCTTGGTGCATGGGTGCTTGCTGGAGCCCAGATGGCAACTGGATCTACGCTGGTAGACGAAACGGAACAGTAGAGGAGTATAGCATCCACAAAGCTAGAAGTGGATGGGCCCCGGAGCGGACTCTCAAATTCCCGGCCGGTAGTGGAGCTGTGAGCGCAGTGCGAGCAATGCCGAATGGCCGACATCTAGTCTGGTAAGTTGAGGAAGCATGAGTCGAGACAGCGTATTCGGTCTAACATACAAACAGTGCCTCGCATGATATTCTCCGGTTGTACGATCTGAAAGACACGCGCGCATTCAAGCACTCGACGGTCCCCTTCCTGATTATTCCCGGCCCCCCGCGCGCCGGTGTCATATCGACGCTCTACATTGACCGGACATGCCGCTTCATGCTCTCGGCTGCCGGGACACGTGGTTGGGAAGGCACGAGCACTGAGGTTCTCATAGGATATGAAATCGGTGTTACCGAAGAAAAGTGATGGGCAAGTACTTATCCAGTATTTCGGTGGCGCAAAGAGAGATGGGAGTTGAAAACTGGTCTGAAATGACTACTATACTCCTGCTGTTCTAGAATAAGAGGTGGAGTCAAGATACAGCTTTCTTAGCAGTGCCAACACGATGTATCCATATTTTGTGTCGCAGGTGGTCCAGAAACCTTAGCGATCCCAAGAGCCAATATTAATACCCTTCTAGTAGTTCCAAGCCCCCTGGTTCGCTTTGTGACTCTTCATGGTCCGTCACTCTTGGTTGGCTGGAGTCATACCCTCAACGACGTAACCCTTGAACTTACGCGCCGGGACCCGCTGTTCGAACAAGATGTCGAGCTCTTCGTAAGTGCGCCCCGCTGTCTCGGGGACGCGGAACCAGGCCCAGACTAAGCACAGGGCAGCCAGGCCCCCGAAGAAAAACCCTAGCTTTCCCTGCATGTTTGCCTCGTCAGGGTTGATCATGTACGGTATAGCGACAGTCATGATGATTCCAAGGACTCCCTGAGCGGCTGTTGCAAGGGCAATCGTTTTCGACCGGACTCTTGTAGCCGAGGCTTCGGAGATGAGGACAAAGCAGATGGGACCAACGGATAGATCGTAGGCAAAGTTCCAGATGAGCATCAAGGACGACTCCGCCCAAGCGACGCCCTTCGGACGTCCCGGGACGCAATCAAGGATGCCGATGAGTAGCTGCAAGATCACCAAGGCGGCTAAGCCGGTGATATAGATGGTTCGCCTGCCGTAATGGATTAAGAAGTACCAAGATATGACGGTGCCGAGAAACCCGACGGCTATAATAATTAGTGACTGCACAACGTCACGCGGGCAAGGACTTGTAGCTTACCAAGGAACCCAATGGCCATATCAAATGCCTTATCAGTAGGCAGACCGGCTTGCTGGAAGAAGTACGTGCCATAGTTGATGAGGTATATGCCGCTAAGAACCTGGGTGCAGTAGACGCCAACTGAAATCTCGGTTCGTCTGAAATTGACACCCTTCAAGCAATCCTCATACGTACTGCCCGCTTCCAGCTCTTGCTCAAGTCTATCGGTCTCAACGATGAAGGCCAAAGAAGCGGCGATATTGACTTTGCTGGACGCCAGCTGACGGAGGCTTTTTTCTGCTTCGTCCATCCTGTTCTTACGGACCAGCCACCAGGGACTCTCCGGTACAAAGAGTAGGCCGGGTAAAATGACCAGAACCCAGAACCACTGGAGCGCGAAGGGGAGCGAGTACGCCCAGTGGGTATCAAACTTCGAAGTCCCCGCCGTCACTCCATTGGCCAGAAGCTGGCCTATGACGAAGCAGAGGTTGACGTAGGACGTGAGATGGCCACGAAGAGCCATGGGGCAGACTTCAGAGGCATAGGCCGGAGCGATGACGACGTACATACCCAGGACGAGGCCCCCAATAAGCTCGCCGACCAGCAGGACGGGCAATGACCGCGCGAAAAACTGTATGAACACGATACCGGCGGTGAGCACCACACATGCGGCGAACGTCAACTTCCTACCGAACCAGTCCATGGGGTACGCCGCGAACAAGGCGCCGACGACTTGGCCAACGGGGTTTCCCATGGACAGCCCGGTTTGCCATGCAGCGCCTGGGCAAGTAAGTCAATATTGTGAGCCAGTGGATCAATGGGGAGTCTCTGCATACTGATAATGTACTGTACAGCCAGTCAGTGGTAAGAAAACAGTTAACTGAAGTAGATGACTCACACTGCCTTCATACTCGTGCCCAAAATCCCGTTGAAATTGAGGTGTGGCGTAGAGGTTGCCTAGTAGTTGCGGGTCAAACGCCAGCATGATGACCCCGAGGGACACAAAAGCAGACCACCCAATGGCAGCGGGGTAAAGCTTCACGGCCTGGGAAAAGGTCAAGTTGTGTTCGAGTCGGATGGCCTCGGACAGGGTAGCATCTTCGGGGCCCGGCTTTGTGTCCAGAGCCACAGCGATGGTCTCGACATCTTTGGATGCCATTGCGGAGCTGGTGCTGTATGCTGGGCCGTTAACTCTGCGAAGAAGAGGTTGAATCAGATCGCCGGCTTCGACAGCAGCGGAAGAGTGTGGGGGAGACATGTTCGTCTTATTCCCCATTTACATGGTTGAATTAGTCTGGTGCGAAAAAGCCATGTCGTATCCAACGGTCACGGTATCAAGGCCCCCCTCATCGCCGGTCAATACCGGTTCGAACCCCGAATGGCTGGCCGTTATCGTTGCGATAGGATCTCAAATCCAGGGTCAAGGGCGGTTTGCAGGTCTCTGTGGAGATAAAAGAAGCCCCTGGTCGACGGGGGAGAAGCAGATTTAGTGGTGTGGTGTAGTGTGGTTGTATTGGCGAAGATGGACGAGGCCAAACCCACGAGCCAATCCGGAGATGAGAGCCTGGGCGCACATGCCGTGTTCCGGTTATCAGCGGGGGATGCATCAGCACGCTAAACCGCTATGGGCATGTTGGAGATAGTGGTATAAACGTTAAGCACGGCGAGTGGGGACGAAATCGTTGGGGAAGAAGGGGTGCGTATGACTTGGCTCGCCTTGTCTCTCAGAGCTTGATTTAACCGCCCACCCTGTCCCTTTTGTGGCTGTCGTCAGCGACTGCTGATTTAGACATCGGTGTCATCTCCAACGCCATGAATACTTCATGTTCACCAATGCCCAAGGCCCATTCGTGTGTATCTCAGCATCAGTGTTTTTGTCTTCCTGCTCTACTGAACTGCGCCCGCGTTGACTTCGTCTGCGTGATCAGTGTTTTTGGTGTCATCCGTTCGTTTCGTGGGCTCAAGAGACTAAGACCAAGGCTAGATCGGTAAATGGCAGTATAAGTGAATAGTTCCAGCATAATGTAAAGACACATACTTCGTCATGCAGGTTGGCGTTCTATACGCCTTCGGCAAGGTGCGTACCAAACATGGCGAGTAGTACTGGCCAAAGAGGACGGACCTGGCCGATGCTTGCCCGCAGGCAACGAGAGAGAAACCACATGGAAGTATATGATGCGTGCCAAGACCTCTCCTGGTGAGAACATGATAGGAATGGGAAGGACATCGGAACGGGTCTAGAGCCACGCTGTAATACGCAGGCATGATCAATATAGACTTATCGGGGCACATGGTGGAACAGATAACTCCAAAGGATTGCTACAATAAAATGTGTACAGAGTTTCAGAGCGTGGTTTGCCTCTTCAACTTTTGCTCAACCACGAACGGCCGAGGTAGCAATGAGTTGACTAACGCGCAGATAAATGTTCACGCTCGGTTGATATTCACTCGAAACTTGGTTTCAAGCCCTCCGATTCTCATTTTTGATGCTCTGTACCTGCCTGGGAGGGGCTTTATCATAATTTCATTCTTACTTTGCCGGGCGCTGTAGCCCACACACTCCCGAGGGCAGCGGAGCCTCTTGACTATTACCACATCACATTTCCGATTGGCTTCCTTACCGTCCTCCCTCTCTATCGACCGGGGAACAGTCAATGCGTAAATTCTAGACTTCAAGAAAGATTCTGGGTTGCGATTCATGCTCTTTATATACATGGGGCCGTCACCTTCAAGGCTTAAGCCGCGGCGGCTAAGATTCATCACTTCGACTAATATATGCGCAGAAGCAGAAGCCATCTCTCCTCTTGTTTTTCTCGGCTGAATGTAAGTACAATTGACCGCAACAGTCCATATTTTGATGATAGGCGGGTGGCCGAACTAAGTATTCAGTTGGACGTACGGAGGCCATTTGATGCCGGCTTATCCCCAAGAAAATAACAAACATGTTCTCTGACCCCGGTTTTGGCCTTTCCTTCCTTTGCTGATATGAGGTTGGGCCCCGATATAATCCCCAGTGAAGTTTCGCATGTACGGAGGATCTGGATTTTCTCGTTAGGCGAGGCTTTAACGCTGGATAATGTACTACGCAGCCTCGTTTACGAGTCCTCGCAGGCGGACAACATAGCTGCTGCTCCAATACACTCTCCGATTACGCCGGAACCCGGATCCCTCAAGACACTACGACTTCAGTTGCTAAAACCACCAAGAAAGGCGGATGAAAGGACAAGCGATGGGCAAGTGTCAAGCTGGTAATGTCTGCCTCTATACTTCTCCTACATCTCGGACGTGAACAGCCGTTCTCTTGCGCAACTTTCAGGACCCCACTGCGACATAATTATCTGTCTAGTAGTTGCTGCAATTGCGTCCCTAAGAGGGCACAGGGTGTATTTACAGAAAATACACAGCCCTATCTCAATTAGCTATTTACGGGGGCGAAGGGGTGCGGAAAAATAAAACCGAAAAACCCAAGTGAGGTTCATGGTATACGAAAGTGGTCATGAACCAATGTTCTTGATCCATTTCAAGTTTGAGGGCTCCTATCAGACTTGTGTGAGCTCGATGTTCCACAAGGTTTGCTAAGGAGATTCGGGGTCCTCATTGTAAGAGCGCTGGTGCTCCCCGTCACAGCAAGGCACCAGAGATGTCCTCAATGCCGTAGTCACTCGGGCATTAGGGTGGCGCTCGGTGGTGTATCTCAAGTTCAATATCGCGTCTTTGCAGTCGTCAGCGTCATAGGCCGGGATCAACTGTCAACAACCAAACACAAGGAGTATGTAATATGACTGGCACACACGCACTTCGATACTGGCAACTAATTTTCGAAACCGAACAACGGTCACTTCGATGTCTGGTTCATTGAGGTCAGAGACAGTCGAACACCGACGCTTCAGAGGTCACTCTGAAGGAGCGAGCCTTCCCCTCGCTTCCGCGACGCTGGATACGTTCAGCGAAACCACAGGCCCGTACGACAGCTTCTGAAACCTCACCCAAAGAGAGAAAGTAGCAGCAAATAAGTTATACTTGGGACAAAATACAAGCCTAAGTAATCACTCCGCCCGTTTAGTGTTGCAAAGACCTGCGCCGTAAATGAGGCCAGACAGCTCAATATGTGCGTGTCCAACACGGCCTAAGGTTTACATACGATAATGGCTACTTGCCATCGAACGGAAGCTGCTGGAAATGAGAGACACGGCGAAAGACTTACTTTGATGTGCAACACGAGCTGAGAATCATCCAAGTAGGGCCAAGGCAGCCCTCCAGATGACAGCTAGAGTCTGAGGGTGTGACATGATCTACAAGATAACCTAAGCCCATGTCATTTTGTGTCGTCATTGTGCCATAATATGCTTAGCGAATAGCTCAACTATTCGATCACAAGACGAGATGTTTGTCACCCAAACGCCGATCTCCGAGGAACCTTGTAAGCTGCTCAATGTTGAAACCAAACAGAGACCTCGCCAAAAGTGTCTCCCGTTTGGCAATCAATCTTGAATCCCCGCGTGGTAGTTCATAGATGAAAGGGTCAAGCCTTGACAATCAAGGAAACAGATTGCGCGTTGCCAGAGTTCGCCGAAGGGCTCGAGCCAGCACCAACCCGTTAGATCTACAGGTCGAGCGAGCCCCAGCCTACGCGTCCTTGTGCGAGGGATAGAGACGAGGCAAACCTCTAGTCTGAAACCCCGAAACCCCTAGAGAGCCGGACTCTTGTTGCTTTGCTGTAGCTGCGTCCTTCTCTTAAGATGTGGCTATCCGCAACCTTAGTTCCGCGTGATTAAGGACTCTCCGAGGCTAGGAGGAAGATCAGCAATACGTGGGCGATCATGGCCACTAACACTCCATAACAATGATTCAAGATCTTCGCGTCCGTCCCCCTCCCTTTGAGCGGGGCCCATTGTCGTGGAGTCTTCGGAGCAGCGTCTCTGATACATGACTTCAAATGGCCCACAGGAAGGGCAACAGCCATGACCAAATTACATTGTTTCACAGCCCAAAGCTCCATCGGAAGGCCGCGCAATTCAGCGAGTGAAAAGGAGAAGTCGTCGCCGCATTCAGGTGATTCTAGACGCCTTGTGCGAAATTTGGAAGTTGGCCTAGATCGAAGATCACGTCACTTGGGTGGATAGTAAAGCACCATGGTCAGATGGCCAGTGTGGTGCGGCACTTGGAGACTGGGAATATACACTAGCTGTGGAGATCGTGTAGAACGGGCGGCAGCTCCAGAGTGTAACCGGAAATGCGCGTATGGTGACCCCTGGGATGGGAATGCTCTTCTCAAGCTGAATGACATATCCCCGGCGTTTCAACGCTCCGTTTTGGGAAGAAGGCGTTTTTGTGGGAAATGAATTGTTCGTACCCGCATGTCCTTCAACTAAAGGTTGGGTCAATGCGGAAGGATAAAGTTGCCGTCTCGTCCATGCCAAGCGCTCCATCCAGCACGACACCAGATATTTCCGAAATTTATGTAGTCAAAGTCGCGGCACCCGTGCAGAACTCAACGTAATAGGTAACAGCGCTCGGTGTCTTGAAGAGGAATCAACGAGGGAAGACCCTTGTCGCAGATCTCGGAGACCATGACGATCAAGAGAGCTAGACGCCTGGATGGAGTCGTTGAGATTGACCTCGCCACGTTTTCAAGTCACGATGGCGTTAACAGGGTCCGACGCGTTACAAAGATTCCTTACGGCCAACGGGCCCTAAGCGTGCGCGGTCCTGAAATAGACATGTTGTTCGTCCCTTGGCTCGACATAGCTTTGTCGGCCAAACCACGATGGGATGGCAGAGGCCATGGGCCGTGGGTCGTGAGCATTGGTAGTCATCTGAGACCCGTGAGCGCGGTGGCTTGGCCGAAGCAGAGCCTAAACTTGAATGCAGAGCAACGCACCGTCGATTTGAGAAAGAGCAGCCAACTCCACAAGGGCCGAGGAAGGGGACATGATGGCAGCACATCACTCCAAGTGCCTCCCGGCAAGCCACTGACCGTTTATGCGCTGGTGCGAACTTTGGGGAAGGAATCAAGCGACGCACAGCCAGGCCAGTGTGTTGGCTGTACGTCGCGACGTCCATCAAGGATGGGCGGGCGTCCATGTGTGCTGCTTGTGGCGTGGCTGTTGGCCCATCCAAGAACAGCGTAGGTTGGATGCAAACTCGCAAACTGCTTGATGGCATGAGGCGTCGATGAGGCCTACAAGCGTCTTGGAGGGAGCATTATCATGATTGGTCGAGAAGCGGGATGAGGTCAGTCCTCGAGGGCACGGCGTTGGTTGTGTGACTCGCGAGGTTGTTGAGGCGTCGCGAGGCATCCGAATCGAGTGAAGCCGAGCCGGGTTCGGGCTTGGTGGCTGCATGTCGGTGCCAAACCCCGTTCGGAGGTGACGGCCACGCCATCGGAACTAGCTGCAGGGCCAATTTCCTCAAACGGGCAGCCACGGGCCGCACGGTGGGCAGCGACGAGCTGTGTCTGTTCCCGCTAGGAAAGCCCATTCCGTTGTTGAAACATCTGCACTGGCATTGACTTTTGTGCTGAGCGGGCTGCTTAAAGGATGCAAATCAAGTTGGAAGAAGCCAAGCTGCGGCTTGGAGCTTTGGCTGCCGCGCAGGGACCGGGGCTGCGAACCGATACTGCTCTTGAAGGCCAAAGCAGAATACATTGAAGGCTGGATGATAATCCGACATGACAAGACTGGTTGGATGGTTGCCGTGGAGTCTGGTGGTGGACACTGTCCAAAGAAAGGCGACGATGCATGGGTGGGGTGGCATGGGGGAAGAACCACCCCCGAGAAAAAAGTCTGTTGAATCAGCATCTCGTCGACGCTGGCTGCGAATAGTTTAGATGGGTTTGCATCATCCCAAGCTCACAACCATACGAGTATATGAGACTACTGCAAGGCTCGGTTGGGTCCCTAGTGCCAAAGGAAGCAAGCAAATGAGTCGGGACGTGGACTCGTGGGTTCCATCAGATCCATTTCCGTGCGGACACTCTCCACAGTACGTACCTAGACCAGAGGTTGCAGAAGCCGGCAAGGGACGATCGTCAAATGGTCATTTGATGTGCTGACAGCGGTTGGAGGGACCCCCGGGGCACAAGCTTGTCGCGGCACCAACAGCTGCAGCTAAACCGCTTATGTGAGCCACCAGCCCACACGCTCATCAAACCTGGCATCTCTGACTGACTCTTGAGTGTTCTCGGACCCCCTTTTTTTTTCTGCCTCTTGGCTCTGCCGAGTTTGCCTTGGTGGATCGCCCCTGTCCTTTTTTATTTAATGTTGCATTCCTGGTCCTGGTTCTGATCCCGGGCCGCTAGCCTCGGTGCTGGCAGTGGCAAGCATATACTACAGCATACATAGTACACTAGATAGAGCGTATCTCGCCGGGGGGAGGGCCATGACCACACCGCGTCATTCCTTTGGCTTTGCTTATCACGGCAAGATGCGGCCACTGTGACCTGGCTGTCCATTTGAGTCATCTTCCGCACGCATTGTTACTTCGAGGCTGTTCCTGTGCCTAAGCAGCCAGATATCTTGAGAGCCAGCATAGACGACGGACCCTCGACGACGGCAGAAGCAATGTTGTCGTAGTCGTCATCGTCGTTGTCGAGACGCCGTTGCTGTTAATTCCGAGACAAGCGAACGTATGGCGTTTCCAGCTGGGGAGGGGGAAAACGTGAGAAAAGTGGACAGCGGCTGTAGTGTAATGGCGCGCTTTTTGTTCTCTCAGCCGTAGAGCAGCAGTTCGGTGAACGGGGAATCCAATCTTGCCACGCATTGGCTTGGAACCTAGGTCGGCAACTCGCCGAGAGGTTGCCTTTCACTCGGGTCCTCGTGGTCGCCCTGCCGTCAAAGTTGGTGACTGCCCATGCCCAGGTCCTGTCGGGAGCCAGAGGAGAGGAAAGGAGAGCAGATAATTCAATATTTGCCCACACAGCTGCGGGACTCAGACTCCATCGACTGTCTGTCCCCGGCGACCCCATGCTCAGTCGCGCAAAATGCCGGGATGGTAAAGCAGATCCTTGCAGTGACATGGGATGGATAGTTTGCCCCGAACAAGTTTGGACGAAAAGTCGCTAGCCACGGCCGGGGTTGCGCACATCTGCGGCCGCACCGCGGACAAGGGAGAGCGGGAGGGGACGGACAGACAAGACGAGAGGTTCCGCCCAATTAATCTGATATCATAGTATGACATGTGGGCAGGTTTCACGGCTGCTTGTGTCATCTGCTACTTGTGCGTTGTTGGGCAGGAGGGATTACAGAACATGCTGGCACGACTTCTCACAACCAAACAAAAGTGCTAATTAGGTTCAAAATTTCTGCATATGATTATATACTAAAGATGAGACCACTACTGTTAACACCAAGGTACAGTCGATGAGGACAACGGCCGCAACGGTGGCGGCGCTTGGAACCCGTTCTTCTGGGGCGTACACGCGGAATTCGGTACCTCCCTTGCGCAGGGCCTATGATCGTCTTCATCCCTTCTGCTCGCCACCCTGGGATAGATGCTGTATCCGTAGTCTATTCGTACTCTGCCTATGCTATCTTGAGAACCTGCCGGGACCACACCTTACCTTCATATGCTGACAAGCTCCATCGTGGTACTCCCATGTTAGCATAGTGGTGTTGCAATTATCTACATGCGGCGCCAACATGCGTATGCATGGAGTCTATTCTACCTTATCCCGTCCCGACTATGCAATCGAGACGGATAACATGAACATGATATGAAATGGATTAGCCAGACAGAATAGTCCGATACGAACAACATGGCCTTGCTGACGACGGCCTCCAGTTATAGTTCCAGTTCGAGATCCAGGAGCCAAGAAGAGAGAGAGAGAGAGAGAGAGAGAGAGAGAGAGAGAGAGAGAGAGAGAGAGAGAGAGAGAGAGAGAGAGAGATGCCCCGCCGAGATAGAAAGATGATCGGAAGAGGGTCGGAGCGTGCCCAACAGCTCTAAGCAAACTAATACGGACCTGATCAGCTAATGTGGGCAGCCGACACTTCGTCTAACTGCAAGGCGTAAGTGCGGACCGTGCAGTGTGCGGTATGTGCGTGCTGTTGCGATTGCAACGGCAATGGAATGGCATGACATGACACAAGAGGGCGCAGCGTGGAGTGGGCACTGATGCTGCCGAGGGTAGTTGGGAGAGGAAAAGACGACAAGGAGGGGGCAATGGCATGTCCGATGTCAAACTCGAGACCATCGGAATCATCGTGGGTTCGCCTAAAGTAAACTAGCAGGTAGCTGCGGTTACGTACAGAACATGCTAAATCGAGAGTCGATAGACTGCTGGCGTGTACGGATAGTGTGAGGGGAGAGCGTAGGGGAGTTGCACAGGCATCCTTGAACAAGGCGTCGTCGATCTATCAGCAGCTGTTGCTTGTGTTCGTTTCCCCCATCGCCTGACTGAAATATCCCAGCTTCCATGCCCATTGTTGAGGCGGCCGTGCTCGAGTCCCTGGTCCGAGATGGAGGCTTTGAGTGCTTAGAACGTGTGGCTGATGGAACGGATAGCCGTCGGTCAAGTCCAAAAAAAGACGAGACGAGACGAGGCCAGTCCAGCCCAAACGAGATGGGTCGACCAAAGGAGCCAGCTCTTGACGTCCGCTCCAACATGCGGTCCGATGTTGCCGGCAACCATCATGGCGCGCCCCTCTCCGTGGCGCCCGCGTTCGCGTTTCCGCCAAGCGCGGACGAGAATTGTGAGACGCACCGCTAGCTCGGATGGGCGATGATATGCCGTTGGGACTCGGGAGTTTCATATAGGAAACGTGGTGAGGCAGACGTTGGTTGAATGTGAATACGAGCTGGCGACGGCGACGCATGACGGAGGAGGACAATGATACCCTGAGATGCCAAGGTAGCAGAGATGGTCACCTTCAATCATTCATATTGTGATTGAAAAGTGACAATCAGCGAGGGTCGTGTGGCTGCCCCCAGGTACCTATACTCCATTAGCGAGAGCAGCACGCCATACTCTAGGGCAACAGAGAAAGCGGACAAGGCTGAAGGAAGAGAATGTAAGGAAGGGGGGGAACGTCCGTAAGGAAGCCGTTCTTGGTCCCGCATACATAGGAAGTGAAGCGTGCGATGGGCATGTGCACGTAGTTCATATTCGTAAAGTAAAGTGAAGTATCCGTACGCAGTGTCAGTATCCGAGTATGTGAGGCTTGGATGGTTCTTGCTCTTTGCCCTTTAGTGTTTGAATGGTCGCGATCACACACACACACACACATGGCCCAATCAGGACAGCGTGCCACTGATCCCCCCGTCCTTATCCCATCGTGTTATTAACGCTGGTCCAACCGAAAATGCCCGTCAGTGGTCCATCCCTGCAGCCTCCTGTAGCTCCCCCTTGTGCTACCTTCTCAAGGTTTTCCGAGTATGACTGGGCTTTCCCTGCCATGGCCTTCCATGTGCCTGGCCAAGTGCGCCTTGGGTGAAAAAGAAGCTCCAGGTTGATTCGAGTTTGACCGCTTGCCTCGGAGCCCTCGAGACCCTCCAAGTAGTAGTCAGTATCCGCAGGAAATCCTCCCCAAAAGGAAAGGGGCCCCTATTCGCTGCATCTCCAGGGAACAGGCCGAAATGTTTGGTACGTACTACAATATCCAGGCCACGCACCTGCCGCTGTAGGAAGAGCATAATAATGTACACTACTACCTAGAGAGTAATGCAGAGGTGTGCTGCAGCTGCCAGCCGCTCGCTCATACACCAAGGGGATGGATGGATGGATGGGCTGTGTTTCCCACTCTGGACCTGTTTCGAAACGCTGGGCCTTCCGTGGCGTGCCGGTGAGCAGTCCTGAATTTGTTTCAGGTGAGAAGCCAACCAATCATAATGAGGCAGTCATCAACCATGGAGTTGATTTTGCCAGTTTACTTGGGGCTGTTTGTAAAATAATGATAAAAATAATAAAAATGGGAAAGAAAAAAAAAGTGCAGACTTGACGTAAACCTCAACCCTAGCGCTGCTGAGCTCACTGCTGCGCCACTGCTCCGTACGATACATTCGCAGCAGTATCGTCAAGATGCATGCCTCATTGCTAAGGGTGTGGGGGTTGGAAGGAAAGAAGGGGAAAAGGGGGGGCGAGGAGCACACCGTTGCCCGATGATGCTAGACCAATTCTGATTTCGAATACTTTCCTTGAGAAGAAGCAGTAGCTTCCGATTTGAGGAAAAGAGAGGAGAAAAGGAAATGAAAACGATAGATCCGAAGGTGGAAACAGACGGGCAAGAAGGAAAAGAGAGGCGGTCGATTCATCACCCCAGACGTTATTGGTCTTTGGCGCAAGTAGCACGTTTCCCTCATGTTGCCTCTTGGGGATTAGCTTCGAGATAGAAGCGGGGAAGGGCGCCACGAACAGTCTCCATCATCTTTGGGTGGGCCCCGAGAGGGTACGTATACCATTTTCCCTTTTCCATAATGCTTGCTGCATTGCATCTCTTAGGGGTACCAGCGCTGCTGACTGGCCGGTTGACTGGCAGCGAACAACTACCTACACTTTGGGATCTACCTAACGCAACGCTTGTGTCATGCGCCGTTCCCGCATGTTTCCTCCCCGCCTACAAATATAGGGTACCACACCACCAGGCACAGTTCCTTTCCAACGCTCGCTTGCTTCCTAGCGTATGCCTTTAGCGGCCGGAGCCTTTGCCGGGCAGGAAGGGACATTTGCTCATACGCAGCGCGTCAGTCTTGCCGTTTTATCACTAGTGGGATGACTGCAAAGTTGAAAAATGAGGAACTGATATGCCACCTGCTTGCTTGGAAGAGTACCTAGTTCAGGATGGATGGATGAATGGATGGCACGTTCGTGACTGGGGCACCAATCGTCATCATCGTCCATCCATCCATCCATCCATCCATCCATCCATCGTGGCCGTCGTGCCCTTGGGGGTTTGTATGTAGGTACTGTGTGCAGCCGCTGGAAGCCATGGCAGGGGCTACAACCTGGCAACTTAATCCTGGTCGCTGACATCCACCATAGATGGATAATAAGCTAAAAACTGGCCCAAGCTTCCTATGTGCCGGCTTGATTGTTTTTAATATCTTGAATTATTGACCATGTTTTCTTTCCTTCTCCTGTCTCTTTTGTCTTGGCTCAGAGACACTGAGTCCCCTTGCCCACCCTGATTGTTTCTTCCAACCGCCTTACAGTTATTCCTTTGCTTGTTCCTGTTTCCATGCCATCCACACTTCACCCGTGTTTCTCTCTTTGCACCCCTGATCATCTCGTACCCAGCTACCCCCCTTGATCCTGGCGAATGCGAATGAACGCAAGCCCCCGAACCATGCGGCTGGCCCCTTCTCCTCTCTCTCTCTCTCTCTCCCTCTGTCTCTTCGTCATGTCCCTTCCCAATCTTGCCCCCACACCCCACTCGGCTTTCCTCTCCTTTAATTGTTTGTTCTTTCCGACTAGCCGCCATCACACGCATACACATTCGCGCGACGCCTTCCCGTCATGCCATGCCTCGAACCCCCCCCTCCCTTTTCCGGTGTCATGTGTGTTGCCCTGCTACGTACTCTCGTGTGCGCGTGTCCGTGCGTTCGTATGTTCCCGCCGACGCGGAGCGCGCCATTTGTGATGACGAGATGGTTTGCCCTGTTCTTGACTCCTCTTCACCTGGCCTTTCTCCGCGAGACCCCCCCCGGTTCCTACCTCCCCTCCATCTTCTTCCAACACCTGCGTCTACGCGTAGGTTACAGCAGAGCCCGTAGCAGCTCTTGTGGTGCTTTGCAGGGGCGCTTACGTTCCAAGGAAAGTGCGTAGTATAGAAAGTGTGAAACACGCCCGTTGAGGGGTTTGCGTTGGTGTGTGAGTGAACCCATCTTGTAAGCAACTAACTGCATAGGTACTCGAACCCAAAGGGAAAGGACCAACAGCCAGATAATGTAAGGTACCAACCCGGGAAGGTAACTTGTAGCGAATATACATAGTGCCTACCTAGGCACAGCGGGAGCAAGTAAGGTACCTACCTAGGTATGCTAAACTACCTACCACCTAACCCACAGGACAGTACCAATTCTTCTGGCTCACCTGGTGACTGCTACCTATCACCTGTCGCGAGCCGGGAAGGGACGCGCGCAAGGAAACACAGGACGAGAGACATGGAGAGAGAAAGAACGATGGAGAGCAACATAGGTACGCGCACACTTCACACACGCCTCGCCTCGCCTCGCCTCGCCTCGTGTCGTGTCGTTATGTCGTCTCTCGTCGTTAATGCCCATCATGTCACCACTCCACACCCCGTTTTGTGCTCCGGCTTCTTTAGATTCTTCCTTCTGCCCCCATCTAAAATGGCTTTTGTCCACTATTTCGAGACCCGGAACCACTCCAGTCGGTACGGTGCGGCAGCCCACTCACCCCCTGCTCACATCGATCTCGGCCGGATGGAAGAACGGGAGACAAAGTCTTGGTACAGATAGAGGAGGGAGAAGATAGACAAACGAAGGACAGGGTTGTTTGGAACAGTGTGCTGGATTCTGTAGTAGGTAGTATCTTGGCCAAGGCCTCCCGCCATCCCACACTCACTACCTGCGCTTCAAGGTGGTACTTAACCGTGCCAGGTAGTAGTTGTTGGGTACCGTACGGAAACTGCCTGAGGTACACTACCTACGGCTTCTTCCCCTAGCACCTCTCTCGTGTCGTTTTTATTCCCTCCCCGGGCCCGCGGTTTTGTTTGATCATATATCTGGGTATATTTATTATTATTTGTTTAATTCTGCGCGCGTCCTTTTTAGCAGCGGCCAACAGCTAGCACACGATCCCCAAACACCAGCGCAGCACCAGGAGGCATCAGGCCCCTCCTCCTCCACCTTTCTCTTCTTCCTCCTCCTCATCCTCCTCTTCCTTCTCTTCCTTCTCTTCCTTCTCCTCCTTCTCCTCCTTCTCCTCCTTCCTTGTTTGCATGCTTGTCTACCTACTGTCTTTATCCGTACCGCACCTACCTACCTTCCTGAGGTACTTACTCCCCTAGCTCCCTCCTTCCGCCTCTTCTCTGCGCGCTAGGTTCCTGACTAACTCACCCCAAGCTTTGCGCGCTGGGCTTTGGTCCAATCCCAAAATTCAAAGCGCACACCTCCCTCCTTCCATCCCAACCCATCCCGTCCCATACCCATCCCGTCCCATACCCATCCCATCATTCCCTCCTCGTGCTTCTCCACCACCTCCTCACTCCTCTCGCTTCCCGCCAAAGCGTCCGAACTAGGCACGACACCACCAGCTTCTTTTGTCGTCCGAGAATCTGATCTTAACCTCCCACCTCCCGCACCTACCTCACCACACTTTTCCGACCTTCATCCACCTTCACTTCACCCCCCCCCTCGACTTCTTCTCTCGCTCTTTACCCTTAATACCAACTTCCTCTTTACCACCCACACTCGTTTCCCACTTATTATATCCCTGAACAGAAGCCTCAGTTCTTCCATATTTGCATGCGACCCTGACCTCTCTTGATTCTCTCATCCTACATCATTTTACTTGGGCTTGCCTTGTATCTCATCAGGTCTACTTCTTTCCGTCTTTCCATCCAATTTTTACTGTCCGCCAATCCCGCGCTACGCACTCTATCTATCCCGCATTACTATCACCACAGCCTCCTCGGGTACAAATCACTACGACCAACGCCAGCAGAAAAGACAACTGCGCCCTCATCGCACTCGTTCGCCCGCATCGCGTTCACTTCCCGGAACAACGCCGCCGCTGCATGACGCACCTCCCACCAGTTCGACCCAAAGACGCCGACGCAATTACCAATTCGTCTCGACAGTGTGGAAGGAAAAGCGGAAGACCGCGCCGATGGATCACGTCATGCAGGATGCCCCAGCCGACGTGCTGGCTGATGCCAGGCGGACGCTTGAGGCATTGAAGAGTTCTGGACTGTCACGCGAAGTATTGCTGCAAATGTGGGAGGGCGGCGAAGACAGGACGCACCACCTTCAACACCAGCTCCACCACCAGCAACAGCACCAGCAACAGCAACAGCACCAGCAACAGCACCAGCAACAGCACCAGCAACAGCACCAGCAACAGCACCAGCAACAGCAACAGCACCAGCAGCCACAAACACCACAGGACGCTCCTTTGGAGGATGCTTCCACGCGAGGTTTGTTCCCATCATTCTCAACCGGGCGTGACCCCGGGAGAAAAGTCACCTCTGCTAATTCCCCAACTGTTCCTCCAGCAATCTGCCACGGTCAAATAGGTCACCGCCCACGCATTTCCGTTTCGTCCACGAGCTCGGGTTCTTCCGGTCACGCTAGTATCTGGTCGATGGGCTCCGCGAATTCCAATGCTACCGTCGCGACACATTACTCGCAAGCTTCTCAGGCACCTTCCGCCACCCAATGCGCACCCCAGCCCTCCGTAGGCGCACCAGGCAACCTACCCCAGGTGGCAAGCGCGCAAACGGGATGGGGTCCCGGTCGTTTCAACTTCTACTGGTGCACTTCCTGCGAGACACGGTTCAAGCGAAAGTATGACTGGAAGCGTCACGAGGAGGAGTTCCATGAGCGTTGGAAGAAGTACCCTTGCCCCGAGCCTGGCTGCAACAGGAGCTTCTGGGGAGCAAACACTTTCAATCAACACCACAAGGCCTCGCACGGCTGCAAGTCGTGTCCTCATTCAGAGAAGGTGGTCAAATATCTCAAGAGGAGAAAGTATTGGGCTTGCGGCTTCTGCTCGGCCCTTCACCCCTCTAGAGAACGCCATGTCGAGCACGTCGCTCGGCATTTTGAGTCGGGAAAGACCAAGTCGGACTGGATGCACTCGAGGGTCATCTACGGCCTTCTTCACCAGCCTTTGATCCACGAGGCCTGGAAGGATATCCTCATGTCCAAGGCGAATGAATTCAACGGACGTCAACCCAATTTCAGCTGGAACCCCACACAGACCGGTCGTGCGCAGGGCTTCATGGAGAATGAGAGTCCAGGTCAACTCCAGGATCTTCTCGAGTTCTTCTCCGGTCCCAGCACCGAAGCTGAGTCGATCGTGTCCCTCGCCTACAAGCTTGCTGACCTCGTCTTCCTGCCGGTTCCCGCATCACCACCGATGCAGTATTCTCAATGCTACGCTCCGCCTCCCTCGGCTCTTCCGCAACAATACTCCCCTCAGCCCCTTCTTCCTCCTCCTTCGATACCATCGCAGACTTTGCCGACCCAGTCGCCTCAGCCTCCTGTACTGGCTTCGCAGGAATCGTCACCCTCACCTTTCATGGACCAGATGAGGGCTCAATCAATGATGCCACAGCAGATGTTCCACACGCCGCAGCCGCGTGCCAATACCGAGCCTCTACGACGAGCATCCCTCGACAGGGAGCTTCCACCACCACCACAAGAAAACCAGCCAATGAACTTTCAGTTTATGCCCGAAAATATGGTCTCGTTTGAAGACTGGGAGAGCTTTTCCAGCACTGTCGTTGACGAGAATGCACCGCAGCCTACGACAATGTCGTCAGAATGGCCAATGGTGCCTGTACAATATTACAACGCCCCTGTAGGGCCATGATCGCCTATATTTCCTTGCCAGTTCGGAAAAAAAGTCAACCTTTTCTTTGTCACATGTCACATTTACTGCCGCCGGCGCTGCCCGCTGGCCAATCGATATAGTATATAATGGTAATCACCTCTTGGGGGGGGCCGGACTCGATGGACTCGAAATGTCATTTTCTTAGGCCGCGGATTCGGGCGAAAAACGGAACGGACATGGCACAGGATAAGAATATGAATTGGCAAACGGATGGCCAGAGCAAGGAGGTTGGAGGCGTCACTCACGAAAGAGGTGTTCCATTACGGTTGATGGTCAAATGTTAAAATGCAGTGGATAGAATCAAATAAAAAAAACCTTGCATTCTCCCTGGGCGTCTTTCCTGATTGCATTTTTTACAAAATATGAATATTTTTCATGGGTCAGTACGCTGCTTCTAAGAGTACTTGAACTACCGATGCCAAAGCCAGGGCGGCTGCGGTGGTGGAGTGGCAAGGTAGCCGTCCGCTGCGCGGTAGTCACATCCGCAGCGGCTCCGGCATGCAATGGATACTCCTTGCGACGGTGGTAGAGTCAAGGCTGTGACGGCGAGGAACTCGATGTTGCAAAGCCGGAGTCGGTTCCGTAGTGAGTTTGTGTAACATGCGCAAGTGAGTCGTGGGTGGGCTTTCTTTGGTCTTGTTTGTGAAGCGATCCAAGACTTAGGGGAAATGCCACCACGTATGTGCTAGGCTTGATTTAGCTGGTGTGTACTTCTGTTGCGTACTGAGTGGGCAGTGTCCTAACAAGGACTCTGACGGGTGTTCTTTTTCGTTTGGAGGACATTGTCAGCAGCCGACGGCTGTTCAACTGCCGCTGTCCTTATTTGCGAATGTAGCCCCTTTCTTTGGGGGGACAGCCTTGCCTGGTCCTTGCACTCGATGGGTTTCTGGAATGTTGCTTCCGACGATGAGTATAAATCAGCAGTAGAGGCGGATATATAGACCAATGAAGCTTAACAGCCAATGTGTTTTGCAGTATCAATAAAATGATGGCATACACGTCACGCTCGAAGTTGCCCTCGATATAGTCAGATATTAGGGGCGTACGTCGGCTATGTCCATGGTTTATTCATTGTTGTTCTACCTCCCAAATCATAACAGGTGATGTATTTGTGTTCTTTTGAGATGCCGCTTTTGCCCGGGCATATCTCATCTAAACCACAATCACTGTTTTTGCATTCAAGAGGGGAGTCGAGCACATTTGCTTGTGTACCCAACAGACAGCAGACATCTAAATAAGTCGAAGTGGAAGGGAATTACCGGATTGTCTGCTTCGGGAAGAGCGTCATGGAGTTTATATTCCGGACCGCTTATACAGTTCTACACCATCAGTGCTGATGCTTGCTGGGATGATGGACTGCCCTGTTGAATAGGTTGTTTATCTTAGTCGTGATGACCTGGGTCAAATCCCTTTATCAGTCGGCTCAGTAGTGTCAGAAGTAGACCTTCACGGCATTTATAAAGCCTTACTACGAGCTCATTTTTTTTATACAAAATCAACGTTTATAAATTTGCCATCTGCTAGTCTAGCCAGACATTCATATGCCCTTCACATCAGATCATCTGCCACACACTGACGGTAGACTCCCAGATATACGTTTGCGAAGCTGCCGCTAAGAACGACGGCATAGTGTACGGGGAGATTAGTCAATAATGTGCCGTTGGATGCTTTTGAGGGGCCAAGCCAAAGCACGCTCCAATGGTTACCCTGGGAAGTTTGACAATAATGGCAATACCGTGAAGTTTGCCTTCGGCGGTGACGGCGACCTCTACAAGCCCTCTTTCTTCATCAACAGCCAGTGCTACGAGCTCACTGCCATTGAAATCTCTACCAGCAAGCCTGACCCCATGCACTGCGCCTACGGTCTCAAACTCTGCATCGGCGGAGCTCAAGGGGATGTTGACGGCTCTGGAAACTCCCGCCCAAGTATGAGATGGAGAACTGGTTTTACCAAAAGATATACGTCGGCATAGCCCGTGGCCCGGTCAATGTATAGTGATGTCTGGTCGAGACAGGCGACCCTCGCTCCCGGGGGGCTTGAGACAAATATGGAAATGTCGTACCTGACCAGCTTGAGGTATTACCGATTCCAGAGCCTACTAATTAAGAAACCATGACTCTGCTACTAGAACATAGTCCTCTGCCGCTGGCCTCTCTTGCAAAGTTATCAACGCCAAGCCTTTGCTCATCACCGTTGATTCGACTACTACGCACGATATAGCCTTCACACGAGCCTTCGAGAGGGTGTGTTGACGTCAGTAATTGCAATTGCTTCCCCGGCCAACGAGCCATGTAATGCTTCCCGATACGAATGGACCCGGAGTCCTTGCATCCGTGAGTGTTGCCAGGAGGGTAATTATAGTATGTGCACGTATGTAGCAATCAATATAACACTAAAAGAGATAGACCCACTTGCCTCCAATCGTCCACCGTAGATCGAGGCAAAATGAAACAACCCTGAATTATGAGGTGATGATTCCTATTCATCCTGGTGTATCGCATCAATGATGCTTTGGCGGCATGACCGCTCTGTTCACTACGAACACTATCCCGACGTCATCACAACACTTCCTTCACAGAATTAGGACTTCGATGCTAGGAGGATTGTAGCCGAGAAACCATAAGACATTTGATTCTTTTGCATGATGGTGCTAATGCAACAATATTTTGTGTACGTAAGGAACGAAACAACGTCTGGGTAGCTGTTCGCCGCCCCAAATGCCACGTCGACCGCCGTCTATGGCAACCGCCCGTCGTTCAAAGGTACCGGTTCAATCGTCTCGCACGCACTGAGTCTCGATCCAGCGCGAAAGCTCGACCGTCTTAACATCCACTGTTCGCCAGAAAACATCACTACACCAGATAGTAGGTACTCCCAGCGCAATCAGACCGATGAACCATGCCACCATGCGACCCCACATGCCAGCTTCCTCTCTGCCGCCAACCAGAGTCCAGACGTAGGGCATCCAGCGGTGTTCCAAAACGTCCAAGACAGGCCCATGAACAAGGTACAATGCATAGCTTATGTCACCAAGATACTGCGCCAGGGGTGTTATAAAGAGGTTCTGTAGCACCGTGACCTGTTGCAAGGCGGCAACAATCTGGATAGCACCAAGTGCATACCAGGGGAACGCAACGAGGTCTCCTCCCATAGTAAAATAGGGCTCCATGGTATTGCGAAAGAGCGGCGCAATTCCGGGGGTGATATCATTAACTTCGTCCGGCCACCCAGCAACGAACAGACCAAAGATGAGGTTGCCGATGAGGAAGGCTTTGATAATGACTGTCTTGACGGATCTAGAACACGAGCTAGAAACGCCATCAGGGGCCGCTGAGCCTGATCCATCCTCCTTGTTCTGGAGAGCTGCAGCAACCCGCTCGCGGCGTGCCTCTTGGATAAGACCGATCTCAGCGAGGACCATGCCTCCAAAGAACTCAAAAGCGGCCCAGTGGCCACACCTAAGGCAGTAAGCCATAATAGTAAGCACGGATGTTAGACGTAGATACGTCTTCATACGGCTTACACCCGTTAGAGTAACAAATAGTAGTAACGAGTTAGAGAACTCAATTGGAATGGTCCAAAGATGAACATCGTACGGGAGAAATTGGGTAATGTCCCACTGCCAGCTAAAGGTGATCCTCCAGAGAGCATTCTTCCAGTCTATAAGTTGTTCCCATAGCGTGGGCAGAGGCTGTCCCATCCAACCAAGGCGGATCATGACCATGATGATAAATGTGGAGGCAGTAGTAGGAAGAAACAATCGAAAGCCGCGGCGGAAAACACTACTCGAGAGGGTGCGGTGGAGCCCGTCATAGTTGTGTTTTCTGGCCTGCTGTAGAGACTTGAGAGAGAGAACGAAGCCGGAGATGACGAAGAAGATGTGAACCATGGGCTTTCCGCTGTAGATGACGCGTACGAAAGGGAGCTGTAGCGGCGAGGAAGCGGCAGTATCGTTTTCTTGGGGGATTCCGTATGGTCTAGCGAGGTACCATCCGAAGTTTGGTCCTGAATAGTGGCAAATGAAGACAATCAGAGATGCGGTCCCACGCAGGCCGTCAAGCCAGGATGTTGGATACAGGCGTCTGCGATGGTTCTTGGAGTCGTTGAGCCTTAGCCTCCTCTGGAGGAAGGAGGGCAGTAAGAAGAAAAGGATGGCCATTAGTCTCGCAATGAAGGTACTTGGCTGCGGTTTTGAAGTCGATCCGCCGGGTAATGAGGGTTCAGAATGGCCATTTGCGTTCGACAGCGGCGCGTACGGGTAGGAATGCGAACTCGGTGAAAGCCGAACCAAAGCCCCACGGACGGAGCGCACAGCGAGCGAGATCATAGCGATAGCAGTGACATGTCCTTGGAGAGGATACTGCAAGTAGGTAACAGCGACGTGCGTATCGAGATGATGGCTGAAATCACCAAGATGGAATACAAAGGAGATGGATAGATCACATGGAACTTTTTCAATGAAAACGAGCTGACGGCCAAGGCAATATATATTCGACTTTTAGGTTTAGAACTGTGGACCGAAGGGAGATGGGACACGTGCCGAGCATATCGCTTGTTAGGAGAACCCTAGAGCGCCAAGTACTGTGACCAGTTTATTACCAGCATGAAACCAATGAAAAAAATGGGGGTCAATCTTGGCGTCGTAACTTCTATTCGAAACCTTGTCTCTCCCGGCTCATGCTTTTCCTGAGACGAAGTGACAAACCTTGGTCCGAGAGCGCCCATGTTGTGAGATTAACACCTGGAAGCCCCCGCGCATATCCCTCCGCAAGGATGGATCGATCGCGTTATGGTAATGACATAGCTGTCTCATTCCCAGCGTGGTCATTTGACAGAACAACTCGGTGAGGGAGCATGTATCGAGCCTGTGTCCGGCCCCTATCGATAGATAGATGCTCTTGGATATTTTCGAAAGAGATATTCAGGACAATCCCTGCCAGGAATTGCCTCTTCCATGCCATCAATTGCCTTTCGGTGCGTAGTCTGCAACTCAATTTAGACTTCACGGTCAAGATGACCCACTCCAGGGGTATTTCCATGTGAGTGTAAGCCGCTTAATCGTTGCCCCTCGTCACGAGCCCAATGATAACATCTGCGCGCACCCGCCAGACTTCCATCTGCTATGTTCGTCCACAAGGAACTGAGCAACAACTCGTCATAATCCCCTATAGGGCCATGGCCACTTTGGAAATATGAGTTACTATGAGCACTCTCAAGGTTTTCTTGTATGCCTGGTTGGGACTATAATAGTTCCCCTGCCCACTTCCGCCAAACCGAGCACGGACACGTTCGACCGACCCCTAGGCCGAGCACCTTTTCCATCCGAATGACTCGGCGTTACCTCATCAATCCATCCATTCGGCTCCCCCATCGCTTCAGCTTCCAAATGCCCACTCGAGATACGCGTGATTTGGAAAAGAAATTGCGAAGGCGACACAGACAAAGATTCCATCCCGCTGGCTAGATATATACAACGCCTGAGACGCCGTTATCTCTTGCGTATCGCTCGCCTTTGGTCCCTAGTGTTGAGACCACCCAAGCTGGGGGGCACAGCGTGAAAACCACCGGCATGAATCAACAACAGCCTACCACGCACTCCCATCAAGATGTAGTCTAAAAACCTCGACACGAAGTGGTGTTCAAATTGCCCATCATTAGATTGCTTCCACTACGAACCTGATCTATCCCAAGCCAAGTCTTCTCGGCCTGGTGCCGCCGCCTTTAGTTTGGGCAAAAACAAAGCATCGTCCGTGCTTGGCCTCCACAGCCTAGAATACAAATTCTCTATCCAGCGAGAACAGTCGTTAATTCTACCTTGCCCTTCTTTCTTGAATATTGAGCCGTCAGCACTCGCGTGATAGGAACCTCCGATCAACCTTCGCCCCCTGTATTCAACCAAAAAGACACCTCCAAGGCTCGAGTAGGGTATCTTCATATTGCTCCATGTAGATATCACCGTCGCCAACACGTGTACGCCTTAAGCTACTGTCAATGAGAATGAGAGAAGACAGGGCCTAGTAGGCCCGGCCAGATTCACCATCAACGCCGAGTACCCGGTTCCCCATTTTCCAATAATCGTAAAACGAGTCAAACGCCAAACGGAAAAGCGAGCACTCCGAAAGAACAGACGCCGTCCCCCCCCGGGTATGCAGGGGTAGCACCCAGTTGTAGCCTAATAGCCCAAAACATGCTTGCTTGTCGTGAAAACCGCATGACGCCAAAGGTCATGTCGTCTGTTGTTGGTCATAGCAAAGCATGAAGTCGTAATACCCGTTTTCTCTACGTCCCGGCTGGTTCGCCCTTTGCCAGCTCGCCTCGCATAAGTTGTCTAGCACAATAAAATGACTGTGTTCTCGTAAACGAGATCCATGTCAACGTAACGGGACTTGATGTGTCCATTAATGGAGATACATCTACGCTCGGTGAGCACCCAACTCCGTTTGCCTAGGAGAAGGAGAGGAAGAATGACAGAGTCAGCGCCAGAGAAAGTCAGAGGCCTTCACCGGGCGTCCCGTCGCGTAGGAAAAGATCCGAATATTCTCGCACGCGTTCTCGAAGTCGTCATCGAGGTTGTACTCGCGGTAGTACCACTGATTATTCCTCGGGTCGAAAAAGTCCCTTCGGTGCATCTCAGGAGTGTGTAACCCGAGGTACGACATCCACTGGGTGTGCTCTCGTAAGACAGCAGGGCTGCTGACATCCTCCGGGCCCAGGACTGTGTTGATGGGCTGAGAAATGGACTTTTGCCCGCGGGCGTCCCTGTCGTTGAACATGAGCATCAGCCGCGAGCAAATTTCCTGGTCAATGGAGCTCAGAGGTTGGCCGTTCTCGATACGGCTGGCTAGCCCCGTCAGATAGGATTTGTGGCCATTCTTTCGGGGAGAATGAAGATGGGCCTGCATGAAAAGGTCAGTCAGAATCAGCTTTGATGAGTGGCCGGAGGTCAATGTGTACCTTCATCTCCCGCCGTGTGTCTGTCAGGAACGGGCAGTTGTCCATGATGCACCTGTAAATCTCTTTGAGGTAGCCCGGTTCAACAACCGGCGGTGGGCAACAGTGGGTCGTCGGTTGCGAATCCGGGAAGAAGGAAACGGGCCGGCAGGTCTGACAAAGGCCCCGGGCGCACGGCTCATTACCGGGTCCTTCATGATCGAGGTAGTAGTGCAGCTACGGGTTAAACTCCTGTCAACGCACGATCAACCCATCATGGTCCCATTATTGCGACGTACCTCTGAGCAGCCAGGCCGGGAGAATGCTGGGTCCCTCCGGGTATCGAGCGGGTTGGGCTGGTTCTTGTAAGCGTACCGTCGGGTGCGGTAGACGCCGGAGTGCGTGGGCGGGCACGTACAATTCTTAGATCAATTCTGTCCCTCTGACTAACATCGCCTCGGATGACCTTGGCTGGCAAAGGCATGGCCTTCCAATGCAGTGAGCACATGGAGCACACGTACTTTCGAGGCCATCCAAAGTTTCCGTTTCCCTGAGCATCTGCCACAGCCTCTGATTCTTGGCAGCGCCACCCAATACCATTTCCATACTCTCGTGGAGTGCGAGACAAGCCATAGTAGTCAAGGCTCCAGCCAGTTTCGATCTGGTCTCCGCTAGTGACCGATCGTGAGCCGTCCATCGCGGTGGGCAGACTAAGCTCGGAAGGGACTGGCCGTCCCGTAACATTGCCGAGGTACGCACCGGCGTCGCCCTCCACGCGGACGAGGACGTGACGAGGCTCCGAATGTGCGGCGACAGAAAGATCAAATGGGTTGATGCCTGCTGACGGACCCGACGCCGGCGTCGAGAACTTGCTGTCGTCGGCATCCTGACTGCGGTTGTCGAAATCGGGATTTGATTCTTTTGAGGCCGACGAAGTGACGGAAACAGCATCGGCGGGTTTAATAAAACGTGAAGGGCCGGTGCTGTGGCGGATGCTGTGCGAAGGTATCATGGAAGCAGTCGGGTCGCGGTTCTGCGGCTGGACCTGGACAGGATTGCGCGCTGGCCATTGTTGACGATGCATGAGAGGTGGCCCATGATGTGGCGGAGGAAACGGATGAAAAGCGCTTCCACCTAGAGAACCCTGATGCCCGACGAATCGATTGGAGATGGTCAAGCTCATGTTCTGGCGGATGTCTTGTCCTAGGTTGACGGGGCAAAGACAGGAAGCCGGGAACACCACGGTCTACTCTGTCCTGGATGGTAGTTTGTGGAAATCTGGTAGCTTTAGAGGCTCCCCGGTTATGTTTGAGGCTGCTCTCGCCACGGGTTACTATAGGTAGAGGGAGGGAGCGCAACCACGAAAGTAAGAGGCGGGCGGAGGCGAGTCGTCATGTATGATGGGCGGCGGAATCGATCTCAGACAGGGCGGGAAATATGGGAAATCGGATTGGATTGGCCCCCCCCCTTGCCAGTCGCGATATGGGTTCCGTAGGACTGAGGTATCCTCTAGGGCTCCTCTCCATACCAGCGTCTTTTGCTGCTTGCTTCTCGTCTGAATCAAGAAGGGAAAAGCGAGAGATCCAGGGTGGCTGGCTGACCCTAGTCTCAGAGTATCGCGAAGAAAAAGCAATGCGGGCCACACTCGGTCTGTCTGCCTTGTCGTGTCGCGTTGTTCCTGTGCAGCCCGCACTATGCTACGTACGTTTGACCTATAACACCAGCGGTGGTTTGAGGGCAGTATGAATAGCAGACTCACAGTGCCCGCTACTTACTACGTACAGAGCCAGCATCGGGTGCGTATACGGTATACCCATGCACGATACATGGTAGTGCGCAGTAGGTAGTCTTGAGACTGGAGCCCAAGGTGACCGGGGGGCTGCGGGTTCGCGGCAGGCATCAGGGAGACCAGGGGGTCGGAGCAGGGGGAGGGGGTGTCGTTGGGGACCATGGCCAACATCGATCGGACGCCGCTTTCTTCGTGGAGGCAGACCTCTCTGTAGGTACGCAAAGGAGTAGCCCATACGACATTAGGATAGGCAGAGATAGCTGTGCAGTACCGTACGGTAGGTCGCCATTAGATGAGGCAAGGCGAGCCCAGATCAGGCGCGCCCTCGTGGCCGCAAGGTTGGGTTCCAAAGGCTCAAGACAATCTCAGCCCATCGACCCCCTTGTTATCGAGTATGTCGTGCCGCTGCCACACTCCACAGTGCCTCTGACATACGTACATAGCACTGCAGCTGCCGCGAATGCGTGATGGCGGGACCCCTCCTCCATGTGCTGTCACTTCACCCCTCATCTTCATAGGGGCGGCCGCAGAGAAACGCCTTCCCCAGTACGGTACGGACGTACGAAGAACAGAGATGCAGATTTCTCTGAGACTTGTCTCGTCTTGCTTACACCAAGTACAATCCCTGCCTCTATCTTCTTTGCCCAGCTGAGCACGGATTGGTTTGGAACGGACAACCTCTTCTTTGTCGGGATCGATTACATTACATCGCACTGCTTCTCTTCGAGGAGTAACCCTATTCCTACAGGGGCTGACCGCGCACTTATCCACAAATCTCCGATCAGTAGATGAACAACAGTGTCGGTAGTGCCCGTAGACGGACGCTAGAGGCCCCGGAAGTGTGGGCAAGATCCGGGGAATGCAAGCCAACAGGTGATGTTTGGTGTGGTGTAAACGCTGCCTTATCTCTCTCATTGAGGTTTAGACTGTTTGTGTGGATCTTTTCTTCTCCTCCCCCCTTCGCCCCCTTCGCCCCCGCCCCCCGGCTCCTTGGCCCTCGGAGTGAATCCCGCTGGAATATGGACCCGCGATGAATCAGATGAATAAGGCTTTCCGGAAGACGGGTGGCGAGATGGTAGGTAATGGACATGGCAGACGGAGGCCCAACGCCTTCTTCGTCTTGGCTCTGCTTCCTTGGCTCGGTTTTCGCACCTGCAGCTTAGTTATCAGTATGCGTCGCAGTAAGGTATCCGCACAGTTTCATACCGCGCTTAAGTAGTGTTCGTTGTCGTGCAGACACGGCTCCGTCTGTGTATTCATTGTCTGCCTTTCGGAATTGATACCCAACACCGATACAAGCTCAGAGCAACCGCGTAGATGGCTGGATCAAAAGGTTCCCGACGTCATCTGTGCGAGTGATCCGCATGTTGCGTGATCGAGGGATGGACGAGGTTGTGCTACTCTCGACTGGCCTGAGCTCGTTGGTAAACACCAATACCGGTATTCGTTCGTTCCAGCATACGTTGCCTGCGTTTTCTAGCGACTCGGAAACGAAATCTGACGGATGACGACCCGACCGACTGGATCCACGCGGTAGCTTGAGCCATGTTGTCAATATGCAGGCTGCTGGTGCTGACAGGCACTGACTGCCTGACCGGCGACTGGTTTCCAGTTGGCATATGACATGCGATGCCATGCTCTCCCTCATCCCTAGTTTCGTCTAACTTGACGAGCCATCACTCAAGCCCAATCCAGTGCGGCTTAAGACCATGTCTCTGGTACTGCCAGAACTCGACTTGCCATTCAAATGAAGAATTTGCACATGCCTGTCACCCGGAGGGCCATATGCACATTGTAGGCGCCAGCCAATGGGGGTTTGGCTTGTCAACGTGGAGCCTGAAAAAGCAATATATTGCAGCCGCTTCTACGGGAACGAGTTTCCGGCACCACGATCACCAGCCATGTGCCGCACCTTCTGCTCGAGTCAGCTTGGCCCCCCCCCTTCCCCCCTCCAACAGGCGCCCCCGATCATTCTCTGCCGTTTTGGTTAGCTTAGCGGTGTGTGCTACGGGTGTAGTAGTCGTTTTTGCAAAATGTGGAACGCTCGATGGGCGAGGGGCAGTGACGGAGCCGACAAAAAGGCTCAAGACAAAGAGGGGAGGGGTTATGATATGCAATGTGTTTTGATTTGATAACGGGGACAAGAGGACCAAAAGCTTTTATCCATCCCACAATGCCCACCTCTTCTTTGCCTGATGTACCCTAACGCTTACCGCCACTTTCGATGCATGCGTCTACCGGTTTTATGCGTTGCACCATTGGAGAACCGGAAGCCGTGAACAGCCACTCATCTCGCTGCGAGGCTGGTAGATGGAGACAGCAGAGACTCAGCTTCAGCCCCCGGTTGCCGGAAGACATTGGCCGGTACCCGGAATATGCCCTCCTTCGCTGCTGTATTGTGGCCGAGGTCGGTTGCCATCCCTTCGTCGAAGTGGTAAGGATCACTGTCTCGGAAAGTGCCGTGACGGGAGCCATGGCTCACGATCCTTCTCACAACCATTGTGCATGACCCTCAGCTTCAGCCACAAAATTGCTCGACACGAATCCTCGACTCCGGAAGTTCCTCACGTTCGTTCCGAGCCTCCCTAGCATCTGCACCGGGACGTATGTTTGATGGCGGTTCGGCTTAGCCTGGCTTGTTGGCGGCCATTCAATGAGCCGCATCTCGGGCTCTTAGGATGCTTCATTCCACAACGCTCATCAGGAGATAACACAGCGACTTAGCATCGAAGTGTTATTGAGGTTGATACACGTCGGTACGCTTGTCGTCCAACATACATACATCTCAGTCGGCACCGAGCATCCAGTTGCCCACCCGCCTCAGGAAAAGAAACGCTCCTCTTTCACGATTCGCCGCCTCTAGATGCTGCATGTTGTAGCCTGATGAGCGGTCGGAGGTGGTCTGGCTACGAGCTTAGCGACAGGATGCCGACTTTTTAAAGACACTGGTGAGAAGATCTGTGGCAAACAGCAACGCGCGTCCCACACTCATCCAAAGTAATCGCAAGCTGATATGTGCTTTATGCACTGGTGCTGAAATAGTAATTCTCCCACAGGTACTCGTAGTCTTCCAGGATCCCGCTAATGAGCCCGGGAACTCTTGAGCGCACGCCGCCGACAACGCCCTTCATGACGTTCTCGTAGAAGGCTCCACGCATGGCCCACCATCCCATAGCCCAGCCTCGTTTGTTCCACTCATCACGTTCAAGCGGCGTGGTCCTGAAGCTCCGGTCCCTGAGTTGGCGTGCGGCGTATTCAACGCTCAAACCAACTAGCCATGGCGTCCAGGACTTCTTGTTCTTGCTTTTGGAGAGGGCCAACGCATAAATGAGCGGCGCCAGGATATGGAGCACCTCGGCCGCATGAGCACTGCCATGTAGTTGGTTTAGCAGCTTGGCTGCGGGTTTGATATCTTCAGCAGTTAGGACCTTGCCCAGGAGATAGCCGCTGATATCGCCGGCATTGGGCAACGAAGGAAGGCTCATTCCGGTCCTAGGCATGACCCAGTCCTTTTCGTGTGGCTTCGGAGCGTCATCACTGGCCCCTGGAGGATGGCCAGTGGGAGACTCGTCGAACATTTGCTTGATAGCGCCATCGTTATCGGCATCTGGTTCCTCGGGGATAGGCTCACGCTCGGGAAGTACCGGCGAGACGAGAGGCCGTGAGCGCGTCACGCGCAGTAGCAGCAGACGGCAGATGGCCTTGATGGCCTCTAGCAGCACAACCACGCGCCACCGACCGCGCTCGCCCCCGCGCCTTTTGGCTGCCATCTCGCAGAGGAGTTGTGTGTATGTAACCATCTGCAGCAGCATGGCGATGCGGCGGTAGGTTGGACTGCGTTGAGTCCAGTATTTGGTATAGCGACTGTGAGGAGATGGCAACCGCGCCATGGGAATGCGTGATATGGCGCGCATGAGCAGTGTGTCATGGTAAAGAGACAGAAGCTGCACACTCGAATGGACCGTTTCGGAGGCAATCTCGGCGTCGCGGAAACGACCTTTGACTTAATTAGCTCGGGGGTCATGGTAACAGGCCGTGAAGGGCCGCGTGAGTGTTGGTTACCAGGGATGATGTAGGTTAGGGACCTCAGAGCTGATTCTATTTGGGAGACCTGACTAGCGTTTTTGGTGATGAACTCGTCGTACATGTGAAGCCATTGCGGCGGCAGCGATAGAACGGCGCGGATCGTTGACGGCTGATGCGAAAGGCGGGTTTTATTGGGAATGTCAGCGGAAGTCGACATTGCGCAGGCTTTAGAGCATTAGGATCGCGGGCTTTGTTATCGACGCGCGAAG